GTGTGTGGGGGAGAGAGGCCCCGAGCCCCCGGGTCGGCTGAGTCGGGGCGGTGCAGGCAGGGAGAGGCCGGAAGGCCGGTGGCAGGGGCTTTGGACAGTGTGTGCTGTGCTGGCAGCCTGGTTGTCGGGAGCACGTGACGCCCACCCGCTTCTCTGTCCTCTGCCCCAGCTGGTCGCGGCCATCGTGTTTGTCAGCTTCGGCGTGGTGGCGGCCTTCTGTTGCGCCATCGTGGACGGCGTGTTCGCGGCCCGGCACATAGTGAGTTTTTCCTCCATTTTATTCTCCATGGCTGTTGGGGGCTTAAAAAGGTCCACGGAATCACAGTGTCACCTGCGGATCTCAGCCCACGGACCTTTCGGCTCCTCCGTCCACTGGTTTGCCGAAGGCCATCTCTGCTTCTGTGGCTTTTCCTCATTCCCTGCAAAGCGGACGCAGCACATGTGCACACACACACGAGTGTGCACGAGCCCAGGCTGCAGCACACTCATGTGCACACACAGGCACACAGTCACACGCACACGACTCACGGGCACACACAGTGCATCACGACCTTGTGTGTTTCCCACGCATGCGGGCTCGTACACGTGCTCACAGGCATGCACACGTGCACACACTCACAGACACAGGCACACACTCATCTGTGTGCACACCGTGCACGCACACGCACACACCGGCACACTCATGTAATACTGTGCGGGCGTACATTCAAGCACACACGAGCACACACTCACGCACACACATGCTCACGTGCATGTGTGTCCACACTGACACACGCGTGCATACGGACACACGCTGCACACACGTGCACGCACACGCGCACTGACACGCGTCGGCATCTCATCCCCATTTCAGCTCCCGCGTGACGCTCCGCGCTCACAGCTCTGACGCCTCTGCCCGAGCACGTAGGTCTCTGTGTCTCGAGAGATCGTGGCAGTGTTTTGTCGCCGGTGCGGTGGCTGTGAGACCCTTTCCCTCCGCTTCCTGTCACAGCGGGAGGCCCAAGCTGAAGTGTCCGTAGTGTCCCTTACGGCAGAGAAGCCCGGGCGCTCGCTGTGGAACTGTGGCTCTCACAGTTGTTGAGACGATCAGGTTCCAAGGGAAAGAGAAGTCAGAGCCGTGAGGACGATGAGCGTGACAGTGTTAGAGCCGTGAGAGTCAGCCCGGGCGACCTGGCGAAGGCACACGGCCAGCGGTTGTCAGGTTAGGTAGGATCCTTCTGAGACCTTCCGGCCTGTTTACGAGAGATTTGCTGTAATGTCCGGAAACGGCTCTTGTTTCAAACCGACCTGTCCTTGGCCCACATTTCTTCTGAAACAAGAGGCCGGTCCCGTGCGACTGCTTTGACCTTGGCTGCTGGACAGGGGAGCTGGCGGGCTGGTGTGGCTTGGCCCCTGCTGTCCACCAGGCGAGCCGTGGCGACCTCCCAGTGTCGTGTCTGCTAAAGGACAGCAAGCTGCCAGCCACTCCCTGAGGCCCCGTGACAGACACCTACAGCCTGAGGATCGCTGGGTGGGGAGCAGACAGACATCGCGTTCCTGCTCCCCCGGGCTCCGAGCTCACCAGTGAGCACCCCTCTCGGCCACGGCGTTGGGATTGTGCCCCCACGGAGGACTCTGTCCTCACAAATCCTCATGTGGAAACCTGGCCCCCAGGCGACAGTGGGGGCACAGCCTTTAGGAGGTCATGGGGTGGGGCCTTTGTGAAGGGACTTCCTCCTCCTCGTGGGTGAGCCCTGCTGTCCCTGAACCCCAGATCGGACGGCCCCTGACCTTGGACTTCCAGCTGCCAGAGTGTGAGGAGCCGATGTGTGGTGCCCACTAACCCCCAGCTTAGGCGATCTCCATGGCAGCGGGCTGCATGGATGGAGAGTGGGGTGTTGCCTGGGGTCCCCTGGCTGAGCAAGGCCCCTGGGGGTGGGGAGGGCGCCCATCCTCCGCTTCAGCGCCCTGTGGCTTGTGCCTCTGCCAACAGGTGCAGGCAGGGGAAGGGCCTCCCAGGAGAGCCCAGGCCTGCGGACGTGGCTGGGTGCCTGCAGGGCTCACACGTGGCCCCAGGCCCGGGGTGTGCTGCTGGCGTCTGGAAGGGGTGAGGCCAGAACCCGGCCGCAGCCCCAGAGTTGTCCCTCTGCGTTCCCGTTTGCTGGGTGCTTACACTGACAGCTTTAGGTGTTTCTGTCTACTTTGTCCCAGACTTCTGCTTCTCAGTGTCTGCTCCTGGGGAGATCACTTGAGCTGCGAGGCCCGGCCGGTGTTTGCTGTCATGGTTCTGGGCACTTTCCTCGCGTAATCCGGATCTGATTCCCACCCCAAGTCTGTGGCTGACGTCAGCGGCCCCAGCACTTGGCGGGTCTCCCCAAGCCGGGTCTCCCCGAGCCGGGCACCGAGGTGGGGAAGGGCCTGCGTGTCGGGGCTCAGACCATGCCGCTGGGGTGCTTATTCCGAGTCCTTCTCAGGAGGAGAACCCCCAGCCGTGTGCCCCCAGGATGCCGCTGTGAGGACGGGTGTGCGTGGGGGGCAGCGTTAGCAGACTGACCCGGAGGTCAGTGGACGGGATGCGTGTGCGACCCCTCGAGGCCCCGCCTAAAGCCGGGTGGGGGACCAGAGGGGCTGGCCGGTGGGAACAGCACCGGGCAACTCCGGGCCGCGCGTCTGCCACACAGGCCCATTCCTCTCCCAGCAGAGGTGGAGCGCGACCCGCCAGTCAGTGCAGGTCGTGAGCACAGCCGTCAAGGTCAGCTGACGCTTCACCTTCCCCACCAAACCGAGTCCAGGCAGTTCCCGGCGCACAGAAAACAGCTTCTCAGAAGTTAAGTCCCTCAGGCCCCCGCCCGTCCGCTCAGGAACGAGCCAGTCAGAGAGCTTAGGAATGTCGAGGAGCCTGCATGCCTCACGCGGGGCGTCCGCCGTGGGCAGAGTGGGGAGCGGTGACCGCCTGGCCGCACACTGGGGCCAGCTGGTCCCTCTCTTCCAGGGAAGCGTCTCCCAGACTAACGAGGTTGTTCGGAGCGTCATCCTGTTGCAAAGAGGGTGAGCGGTGCTTTTGCCTTGTGCGTCAGGGGCGCGGGGTGGGGGCGTCTGTTCCACTCAGGCTCCGAGGGCACAGCTGATGCAGCAGAGAACAGTGTCCCTCGTGGGGCGAGGGCAGGCAGGCTCTTCTGAGGGGGCTTTGAGCAGAGTCTGGGGGGGCAGAGGCCACCCTTCCCACCAGAGCCCAGCAATCTGGTCTGTAGGCCTGTGCGGCTCCGCGGGGCCTCTCTGCCCACTGAGCCGGACACCGCCATGCTCGAGGCCTCAGAGCCTATATGCGGAAGGGTTCTAAGTGCTCTTTTCCTCTAAAAACACACACTTGACATATTTTGAGAAGAAAGCAGGATGATCCCCCTGTGGTTTGGGGGCTCCCGCCGTGCCAGGAAGGACAGGCAATCCCTAGAGGCCGTCACCTCTCCATGTGTCCCAAGCTGCTGGCAGAAGGAGACCCACACTCAGCCCCGGTGGGGACAGGCCCAGGGTCCCACGGGCGAAAGGAGGTGAAGCCCCACGGCAGTGAGATGTCCAAGCAGTGACTTGAGTCACCGGCCTGAGTGATGACGTGGAAGCGTTGTCACCGCCCTACACGGCGCCTTCGAGCACGTCTGTACCCGGCATGGAGGCGCTGAGGCAGGGCTTACAAATAAAGGCGAAGAAAGCAGAAGTTTGGGAGTGAGTCGTCTGAGCCGTGCTCCGGCGGTGGGACCTGCTGGTTCTCCTGAACCCACCACCTCGCAGGACTCTCCCCTTCCTGAGGAAGAGGCTCTTCAGGCGCTGACGCTGGGGACGGGTGGCACGTCCCCACCGGAGGTCAAGCGCTGGGGACATTCTTCGTCTCCCACTCGTCCTTAGTTGACAGGACACCCGAGGGCGTCCGATCCCTGGGACAGTTTTCCCGCGGCGAGGACCCACGGGCCTTCAGCCTTCCTGCCTCGGCACAGCGCCGTCGGAAGAGGCGGCCTGGACTCGGGAAGGGGAAGGTCTTGGGTCGGAGCCCGCACACCTCCGGGCGGCCGGCAAGCCGCAGACTGTCGCCTGGAGCCCGTGCGAGGGCCCGCGGCCGGGGAGTCCGGGAGTCCAGGGAAGTTCAAGGGGAGCGGTCGGGCTTCTCCGTCCGGGGAACCCAGGCAGAGTGCAAGCTTGGGCCGGTTTCCTGCTTACAGTGGGGTGACGCTCCTTCCCTGGGGTGTGGTGGCCTGGACTCACGCGGGCCGTTTAGGGTCTGTTGAGTGAGGGAAACCCTGTTCTTGACGTTGAAATGAGATGTGGACTTTGGCGACCTGCAGGGAGTCTGGTCAGAGAGCTTCCCGAGCCCGACGGAGCCGGCAACAGCAGGGTTCTCCCGAGACGTGGTGACAGGGTCTCTTCGCTGGGCCCCGGGTCCCGCCTGGCACGTGACAGGGAGAGGTAGGGGCTTGGGGAGCGTGGACGGGGTCGGGCGCGGGGCCTGACACACCTCCCCTTGTTGTCCGGAAGGGAGTTCCAGGAGAGGGCACGGTGGCTCTGGGTTCCCAGCCGGAGGCCCAGCCTCCGGGGGCGGAATCAGTGGGGGAGCAGGGCCTGGCGCCCCATTTCTGCCCTGAGAAGGCAAAGCCGTCAGCACGTCCCCAAGGCTCTAACACGTCCTGCATAAACTTGGATGCTTCTTAGGTCTTTAAAAAGGGCACCTGGTGTTAATCTGAGGCTGATCGAGTTTGCCTACTCTTTCCACGTTTCCGTAAGTTTGCAGTTATTTCCGAACAAAAGGTTTAAAATGCTAGGACCAAGTGCATGGCTTCCCTCTCCCTGATCAGGGGTTCGCAGCGAGTGCTGGAGGCTCTGTGGGCCCAGCCCCTGGGTTCTGCTGCCTCCAGAACTCAGGCCCCCTCAGACGCCGAGGGGTCCCGCCGCACCGGCCCGCACGCGCGTCCTTGCACTCTCCTCCCGTCCTTGGCTTGGTTTTGGCTGTCCTCTGGCTGCAGGTGGCCGGTGTCCTCAGGGCAGGCCCATCTGCCCCATGCGGGGCGTGTGCATCGGCGGGGGGGGGAGGGGGCGGTGTGTGTCACAGACGTGGGTCCGAAGCCGCGGGGTTTGGCGTGTTCACTCGGGGGCCAGGGTGACTGTCCAACAGACGATAGAATCAACCGACCAAAGGCTCTTTCCCACAAACTTGTCACCGGCTGTTAGCACTTCCCAAAATCATGATTTTAAGATGCCAACAACCGGGGGACAAAATGTGGGCCACCAGGCTGCGGGAGCACAGGCCCCAGGATGCAGGGTGTGGAGCCAGACACGGAGCCGAGGCCCAGGGGCACCCCAGCTGGCAGGGCTCAGGCAGGGCTCATCCCGGCCTCTGGACCACCGGGCCTGCAGGCTGGACGCCCCTTCCTGCGCCCTGGCCCCTCTGGGCCTGACAAAGCCTCGGGACGGGGACAGCATGGCGGGGCCTCAAGGGCTGTGCCAGGGTTCGCCAGGCACTGGCTCCCCTCCCCGGCCAGTCCGGCCTCAAGGCTTCAGTCCTGTGTCTGCGGCTCCCGGCCTCAGCTCCGGCTCCCCTCTCCCGGCCGCTGGCTGCGCTCACTCTGGCTTCTGAGCAGACACCGAAGGGCTTGGGTCGGGCAGGCAGCCTTGGGACCCCTGGCTTCGAGGTTTGCCCTGTCAGTGGGTGTTTGCCCAGCTCGCCTCCTGCTCAGCACATCGGAGAGAAATTTCCTTCAAAGCCACTTGTTCTGAAGTGGGGGGGGGGGCCCTCCGTCCCGCGCTGCAGGAGCCACAAGGGAAGGCATGCCCTCCCTCCGCGCCTGTTTCCTTTCTCAGACAAGCAGGATCTGTGGATGGGGTCTGTCCTTGCAGGCGAAGCGTGACGGTCACCCGCGATCACTCCAGGCTCCCTCCTTCCCAGCTGGCTGGGCGGCTGGCGATGCAGAGCACTAGCCCCCGGGACTCAGAAGGTCGTTCCCGGCAGGAGATGGTCAGAAAGCCTGATTTCTACCCCGCGGGGCCTTCAGGCGGATCCTCTGGGCTGTGGGACTCGTGGTTCTGGTTTATCACGAGAGACACGGGAGTAATGGGGTCGGGGTGGACTTGTGGCCAAGAGAGCAGCTTTGTGGTTGGGACTGACCACTCTGCACAGACGGTGGGCGGCACAGTGCCCTCTTCCTCCTGGTGGCCACAGCTCCCCATTCACAGCTGCCCTCCACACGCGCAACGGGCCAGGAGCAGCCGGCCTCTCTGGAAAGGGTCAGGGTCAGCACGCTGGGCCTGTGGCCACCTGGTCTTGCCACAGCTACTTAGTCCCCCCGTTGCAGCACAAAAACGGCCACAGACCATATGTGACAAATGAGCATGGCTCTGTGTCAAGAAAACTTTATTTACAAACTCAGACGGTGGGTGGGACATGGCCCGAGGCCTCTGGGGCCAACCCCTGCAGGAGACACATAGACTTTTGATCCGAGTTTTAGGGACTTAGAGTCCGATATTAGTAAGTGTGGTGTCTTGATGTTCATTCATGTGGAACGGTTAAGAAATCAAGACCACGTTGATGGTCTTTCTGCCCCTAGACCGGGGCTGACTGGGACTCTGAGCTCTCTCCACCCCCGGCAGAGACGGGAGTTAGCTCCCGAGAGACACCATCTCCAGGGTCATCGGAAATCCAGGTTGTGGGTCAGGTGAGACTAATGCCTGTTTTATTTAATTCAGACTATTAAGAAGTATTTCATCCTGATTGGACACTGAGGGTCAGACAGAAAATGAAACCAGTCACCAGTGCTTCTGTGTCAGGAGAGGATTTACTGAAAAGTCAGTCTTACACCAATTCTTTGTCTCTCATGGCAGAGGGCGCCCAGCTGGCAGAATGTCCATGTCCCCAGAACGCGTGTGTGGTGGCCACTCTGCCCTGCGGTGGCATCAGGAGGCAGGCCAGCCCCTGGGAAGTGGTCAGGGTCAGATGGGTCACGAGGACGGAGGCCGCTGTGGTCGGATCACGTCTGGACAGAGAGAGACCAGAGCCCGCTGTCTGCCGTGTGAGGAAAGGCAGGAAGAGGCCGGCACCCTGTCTCAGGCCGCTGCTTGGGCTGCCGGGACGGGTGTCCGTGGTTCAGGCCGACCCCTCTGTGTCACGTGTTACGGCGGCCATCAGGCCGATGTAGACGCAGTGGCGAGACGTCCCAGATGGGGCGGTGGGCGCTCCCACGGGGCTAGCCTCCGCGCGGGACAGGGTGGCGCGACGCCCAGTCAGAAGGGGTGTCTCCACGTGGTTATGGGCGTGAGGAAGGGCACCAGTGCAGCGGGACGAGAACCTTGATGTCAGCAGCATGGGTTCCGCCAGTGACCAGGTGGGACACAGACTGGAGCTTCTGGAACAAGGCCCCGGAGGGAGAGGCAGAGCGGAATCAGCAGGCAGGCGGCGAGGGCTCAGGGCGGTCACCACGGGGCCTCAGGGAACCTGCACACGGCGGCAGCACAGCCTCCCAGCGCCCGGCCCTGCACAGCCCTGTTGGCCGTCCTCCATCCGTCCTCACGGGCTGCGGGCCGTGTGCCACAGGAAGGTGGGCTCCGGCTCAGCTCTGCCCGGATGGTCTGGCAGGTGCGGTCACAGGTGGTTTCCTGTGCTCTGCTTAGGGCCCGGCCAGGATCGCGTTGGGAAATGGGAGCCATGGAGAATCAAAGTGACGGCCAACCCTTGGCCCTGCTGTGTCCCCGGGGACGGGCACTGTGTCTAACCCGGGTGCCTTCCTTGTCTGCCACTGTGATGCTCTGATTCTCCGTGAAGGCTGGGCACAGACTAGTGGAGGGAACACGGAACAGGGCCGGAGGTGGTGGATGTATGTGTGGTGGTTGGTGGACGGCCAGGCGGGGATGGTGGAGGGAGTGAGGGAGGGTGGAGGGAGGGAGGGAAGACTGGGTGATGGGGGAGGGTTGGCCGGTCCATGAATTAATGAGTCCTTTTCTCTCCCTTCCCAGTATAGCACTGTTTTGTTGTGCAGGGGGAGGGAGGAGGGACACGGTAGCCTGCAGGCAGGTGCTCTCTGGGGTCCTTCTTTTTCCCACCCCCTGCACGCTGGCCCGGCTGCTCTGGGAGGAGGCCCAGTGTGTCCTGCCCCACATCCCCCTCCCGGCCGAGCCCAGCGGGCTTTGGTGTCCCTCCTTGAGGCTCCGAACCCTGGGGCCGATGGGTCTGACTTCACCCCGGCCCCTCCTGATGGGGGACGCGACTGTATTCCACGCGTGTGTCTTGGTCCCTAGGAGCCCAGGCCCCTCACCGCAGGAAGATGCGAGTTCTTTGCCAGCGAGGTGGGGTACGTGCACGACGCCTACCAGACGGAGGTACGTGGGGCATGCCGGCGTGGGTGGCCTCACTCTGCAAATCCGGACCCCACAGGCTCTCTGTGCCCCCATCAGAATCAGAAGGCTTTGCCTCTAACATGCTTCCTGACCTGTGGAACACATTGCACCTTGTGGCCCTGTGGCTGCCGGCTGCCTCCGGTGACACAGCGGTCCCACAGCCCACCAGCGGGCTGGGTGCAGCTCTGCTCTCTGTCCTCACGACCTCGTCTGACCCCAATCACTGTCCACCAAACGATGGCTGCCTGGACCGCCCAGCTTGGCCTAGCAGGGTCCTCGAACTCTTCCAGCATGAGGGGCCTGCCACGCCCCCCAAACCACCACACCTGGAATGGGTGCGGGGATGGGGAGGTCCGGAGACAAGGCTCAGGAAGCGGGGCTGCCTGACTGACCCGGGTGCCGTGGCCGGGTCCTGGCTCCCAGGGCGGCAGCCCTACCCACTCTAGGGTGGGGGAAGGTGGGTGCCTGACAAGGTCTCTCTCTCTGCCTGTAGGTCACCTGTCACTCCTCGAGCGGCTCGTGCCCCCTGAAGGTGAAGAGTGGCTCGTGCTACTGCTGTGAGCTCTACAGGTGCCAGAGGTGAGGGGCGGTGTCCCTGCCCCCAGCCCCCGGCCCCCACCCCCGGCCCCGGCCCTGCAGTCCACCACCTCCTCTGAGAGGAAGGGGAGTTGATTCCATCTCACAGATGAGAAACGGAGGCTCGCAAGGTTGTGTGGGGTGCAGGGAGGGCTGTGGCCTCCTGTCCCCTGGTCGTGGCTCTGTGGGAGCCAGGGCCCCGGAGTTTCTCGGGGATCCCTCCCGAGTTGGCTAGGGCCTGGCTGGGTGGCTGCAGCCGAGGCTCCCTTCCCTTGAGGCTGGGCTGGCTGGCAAGAACACGGCCCTCTGGCCGGCTCTAGATGCTTCCCTTCCTGTCCTCTGTGGGCAGCGGAGGGCACGCTGCTCTGACAGGAGCTGGGAGAGCCTGCCAGGCTGCCGGCGACCTCCCTGCACTGTGGGGGCCTCCCCGGGACAGGCCCTGGGCACTGGTTAGGGTTCACAGCTGGTAGGCCTACATTCCAACCAGTGGGGACCTCAGGGATTGCTTCTTGGGGACCCCCCCAGAATGGTTGAAAACCCCACGGCTTTAAGCAGGACCCCCCTTCCCCCAAATGAGAGTCCCATCCCATTCCCAAGCTCTATTGGGAGAAGCAGCACTGGCGTGGGGCACGGTTGCCGGCCTCCCCACCATGACCCCCAGGCACGGAGCCCCGCAGGCCAGTGCTGGGACAAACAGCCCTCCTGTGTTCATGGCTCAGCCACGAGACCTGGCGCCCTGAGGAGACCCGGTCATCACCCCTCTGCCTGGGTCTGGGTTTGGGGAGTGTGCTTGGCTGCTCCTTCCTGCTCAGAGGCCTGGGATCTTTCCCCGGAGGGATTTCTGGACGCCCTAGGGGACAGCCTTGCCCCCACAGCCCCAGGAAGCATCTGGGTTGGTTCCCGGGATGTGGTCCCCCCACTACAGCCCGGCCTGTGGGGTCTTCATGGCCGAGAGCTCAGCTTGCCGGATTTGGAGCTCATGCCGTGGCACACTGTGCCCCGCCCAGCTGGCCTGTCCCCTCCTTGCTGGCGTGGGTGACACTTCCTTCTCCTTGGGCAGCACAGAGCACCCTCCCGTCTACTACGAGTTCGTGGGCGTGCGCTCCTGCCGGGACGTGCTGCACCTGTACCGGCTGCTCTGGGCCTCCTCGGTGCTGAACGTGCTGGGCGCGCTTCTGGGTGTCCTCACGGCAGCTGTCCTGGGGGCCTTCAAGGACATGGTGAGTCGGGCCCCGGCGCTGGCGCTCTGGACAGCTCGGGGCTCGAGGCCATGTCCGCTGAGCTGGGCAGGGTGCGCCTCCTTGTCTCCACCTACACATGGGAAAACAGAGGCTGGTGTTAGCCCCAGGGCGAGTCTTCCAGCCGTTCAGAGGAGCGGGTCATCTGAGGTGTGGGCTGCACCAAACCACGTGAGACGGAGGGGCCATCGGACCTGCCCTAGTCAGTTCCCCCCTACCCCCTGCACAGGGAGCCCCGAGCCTCCTGCCTCGTATCCAGGGCTTAGGTCTGTACTTGCCCAGAATTAGGTCTGTACTTGCCCAGGTGGATGGGGCTTTAGGGCTGGGCACGACCGAGCCTCCCCGCCGAGCCTCCCCGCGGGCAACACCCTGCCCTGCTTTTCTCTGCACGGGGCAGCAGCTGCCTTCCCCCTGAGAGCAGCATGCGCAGCCCCTTCCTGAAGCCGGTCGCGGACTCCAGAGAGCGCCTGGCACCCACTCAAGTTGGGGAGGCGAATGTGAGCGCACACTCCAGCCCCCACAGGCCCCTTGCACGAGCATCTGCAGCCGGTGCCTCCCGAGTGCTCTGGGGTTTCGGTCATGGCCATTTTCAGGGGCCGAGTCCGTGGTGAAATTACCGGAGCGTTCTACCCGGTAAAGTCGGCAAAGGCCACAGGGCCGGTCGCAGCCCCACGCTGGACGGTTTCCTCTCTCAGACCCAAAGTTCTCAGGTCTTCAGAGAGAAGGAAAGTGATTCCTAACCGTTCACACCTACTGAGTATCTTGTACATCTAATGGATTTTTTAATTTAAAGATCATCTTTAGGAACAAAGCCACTTCCTTAGACCGCCAGACGCTTGGCCTGGGCGCAGGGGGGCAGGGGTGAGACTCGGGGCTGCGGGAGGGTCCCCGGGGCAGGAAAGCCTCGTTTAACCCAGTCCGCGTGAGGAAGATACGCAGAGAAATGCGGCCTGCGAGTCCTCACACTGGTGACCCGGTGCCGGATGGGCAGGTGCAGGGAGAGAGGCCTGAGCCAGATGGGGCTCCCGGGGTCCCCAGCAGAGCGGAGCTGCCCAAGGTGACATGTTTTGCTCCTTTGTGGGAGACCCCAAGCCTGCTCATCCCTCCAAACCCCAAAATGGCACAAGCACAGAGTCGGGCCCGGCGGTAAGGCCCCCAGGCCACGGGATGTAGCTGTTCCCTCCGGCCGGGTGGCTCCCCCACACACCAGGTCTCATGTCTCGAGGTGCCCCTCATGGCCCTCCGTGAACCTGGCTCCAGTCCCCCAGGATGGCGGGGAGCTCAGCCCCGCGCCCACAGGAGATGCTCACCAGGGTGCGACCGTGACCGTGGCAGGGTTGCTGTGGGCCTCCCCCTCAGCTCCCCGTCCTCTCTCCCAGCACCCTTGGTTGCCCCTCGGAGTGCCCAGAGGCCGCCCAGGGCAGGGGGCCAGGAGGTGACAGGTGGGTTGGCAGAGCTCCTTCTTCCGAGGACATGCCCGTGCAGGCAGACGTGGGTGTGCTCGCGGCTTCCCGCGTTGCCTCCCCCTCTGCTGGTCCCCCGCTCCCCCACTCCTCAGGACCCCGTCTCCCCTTCCCTCCAGTGGGCAGCCACGCGTTTTCAGACCCTCCCTCTCTGTCGCCGAGGCCCCTCCCCGATGCGGCAGGGTCTGCCCTGTGGTGTCCTTGGGGGAATCCAGGTCTGTCCTCGGAGAGAGGGAGGCCCCTCCAGTCTGGAGCCCCCCTCTGGGGAGGGCTCCATCCCGCAGCCCCTCTTGGGGCGACAGGTGGGTGGCCCAAGTCCCGTTTTCCTTTGGAGAGGTGGAGTCACCTGGCGAGCTCACAGGAGCAGGTCCTGGAAAGGCTTTGGAGTTCTTTGCCCTTTTCCAGAAATCCCTGCAACCGGGAGGCCCAGCGCGGGGCTATGGTCTCTGCCGCAGGGGTTTTCAGATTTATTATTTTTGTGGGGGCGAGAGTGTGCACGTGGAGAGGGGCAGAGGGAGAGAATCCCAAGCAGACTCCTCACTGAGCGCGCAGCCTGATGCGGGGCTCATCCCACCACTCTGAGATCATGACCTGAGTCGACATCCAGAGTGGGACGCTAACTGACACATAAAACGCCAAAGAGATCCTGGCCCAGCCTGGCGTGTCGGCAGGTCCCTGAGACAAACAGAATATAAAAAGCAACAATAAGCCCTGCTCTGAGGGCTTTAGTTCTGGCTCGAGAGTGACTTCTCCCTTGTAGGCGTCAGAGGAGGGTGGCGGGGGGACAGGGCTCTGCAGGCCGTTGGCTTGGAGCCCAGGGTGGCTGGGCTGACACATGTCCGTTCTGTGGCAGGTCCCCCTGTCCCAGCTGGCTTACGGCCCGTCTGCTCCACCTCAGACCCTCTACAACCCTGCCCAGCAGATCCTGGCCTACGTGGGCTTCTGCCGGGCGCCTGCGGCCCTCCCCACCTGCTCGTCCTACCCTCTGCCTCTCCAGGTAGGCCCAGCGTCGCCCGGGGGAAGTTGGGACACTCCCATCATGGGCGGCGGTTGCCCACAACAGCCCTGGTCAGATGGGACACGAATGGGGGGCTCAGGGGGAGGGAAGAGGGGCCCCATGGCTTCCCCTCCCCGTTTGGTTACAGGGTAGCAGAGCAAGGGGCTTGGGGAGGATGGAGGGAAGCATGGCAGACATCTCCAGACCCCTCCACATTTCAGGCCTCCTTTGCTGCGTGTGGCCCTGGTGTGTGGTGTTGTCCAGACCTGGAGCCTTTTCTGACCCCGGTCTGGGTCCCGCGGAAGTTCGCCTCGGAGGCCTGGCCAGGAGCCTGGGGCCTGTGAGCTGCTCTTCCGGGGAAACCGCAGAGCTTGCCCTCAGCCACACCTTGCCCACAGCAGCGGCCACCTCATAGGGCCAACGCAGTAGGACACACGGTCCTGGGGACCCTTGTGGGCTGTTTGGTGGGGCTGAGACCTCGCTCCTGGAGTGCCGCTGGCCTCCAGTCCTGGCTTCAGCTTCTCTGTGTCAGCACAGCTCCGTCTAGGGCCTGGGGGAGCCACACACCAACCTGGCTGGTGCCTTGGCGCGTCCGTGAGGTGCAGAAGGGCCTCCCCAGTACAGCAGCACGAGGGGCTGGGAACAGGTGCGGGAGGCACTCGGGAGCCCAGGACACGGGGCACAGTCAGCCTTCCCGGCCGGGGAAGGCTGTCGCCCGCAGTCGGCCAGGGGAGGGCAGCTGGGTGTGAGCTGAGTGTGCTCAGGCTTCCTGGCCCGGTGCTGTCTCCTCTCGCCTGGAAAATGAGGCTCGTGGCTGAGCTCCCTGGTGTGGGCAGGGCCTCCAGTTCCTGGAGGGGACCCGACACTGATGTCTGTCTACCCAGCGTCTCCGTGGGGCTGTGCCAAGGGAGGCCTCCCCCTTTCCGGGAAGCATGGACCAGGCCCTTGCGTGGGCACTGGCTCCTGGTCCCATGGGGTCCATGGGTGTGAGGCCCCTTTGAGCAGCCAGTCCCCAAGCGGGTGAGGCCTGGCTCGAGAGTGTCTTGTCCACCTCCGTGACACGGGAGGAGCGATCCCCCGCACCGCTCAGCCCCAAGGGCGGGCACATCCCACGTCCCTGGGCACAGCCTCCCCGCCAGCCTGGCAGCTGCACTCAGCAGCCTTCCCTAGAGCAGCACCATGTCTGCCTCCAGGCATCCCTCTCCGTCCCCACCACGGGGAGGATGACATCCCTTGCCCATGGCCTGCGTCCTAAGGGCCGTGCTGTGCTTCTCATCCCTTCAGTTTGCAGAGACCAGACTGAGACCCAGCGCTGCAGGGAGCCTGCCTCTGTAGCTCGTGGGCCGCCTATGGGGACAGACCCTGGTGCAGACACGTGGAGCCAAGTGCCGGCCGGATCGGCCCAGTGGTCACTCACTCATCCACTCTGGGTGGGGGGAGGCATGTCCCCCGGGGCTGGGCCCCGCATCCCGTCAGGGCGCCTGATCCCATCTGACGCCTCGCACCAGCTTGGCTGTGCGGACTGGGTGCACCCCAAGGGCCGGCCTTGACTCGTCCTGGGCACCCACCGGTCCTCGGAGGTGGGCGCTGCTGGGGGCTCTTCGGAGTCTGGGTCCTGAGCCCGGGGCCTCGGGCGGATGTCTGGGATAACAGTGCGTCTCCTCGGGAGATGTGATCCCTGTCGGCCCGGCATGGTGGTGGCCTGCGTGTCAGCCCTGGTGCTGGCCAGCGGGTCCGCCCCATTCCATCCTCGGCCACTGCTGGGGCCTCTGGCTTGTCCAAACACAGATGCCCCCTCTTTGCCCCCCAGGGCAGGCCTGGGCTTTCCTCCCCGTGCCTCCTCCGCTGCTCTGACCAGCGTGTGCAGGAACAGCATTATCGACGCACGGACCGTTGGATCGTGATGACTGGGGGGGCTCCCTGTGTCTCCTGGGAGAGACGTGGAACTGGGGCTGCGCTTCCATGACCAACAGAGCGGGAAGGGGGGTTCGAAGTGCTGTCACTGGCAGTAAATTACCCCCGGAGAGCGGATGGCAGGCGGGGGCCGTTTGAGCCGTTCTGAAAGACAGTCCTCAAAAGGGACCCGGCTTCCCTGCTCCCAGTGGCCGCCCGGTTAGGACACGCAGGGGTGCTCAGCGTCCTGACGGGCGTGAACGGACGGAAGCGGAAGTCCGGCTGCAGCCCAAGAGCGAGCGGAGTCTCATGTCCTTTCCCTGCGGGGCCACCTGTGGGAGCAGCGCTGTCCCGGGGAAGCCTGGTCACCAGAGGTTTCCCTCGCGATTCACGGCAGTTTTCCTCGCGGCCTGCGGTGGTTTAACCTGCAGCTCGTGGGGCTTCGTGCCGTGGTCTGCGGTGGTTCACTCCGTGGCCTCTCAGCCTCTGACTTCCGGGGGAGATCCGGCGGACACGCGCGGCGACGGGAGCTCCCTGCGGACCCGAGACGATGTTCTCTGGAGGTCTGGTTTGTCCCCCAAGGTCAGAAGGGAGAAACAGGTGGGCAGAGCCCCGGCCATCGGACCCCGAAGCCCGCGCCGATGGCTCCACGTGGCCGGGCCCTCGGGTTCAGCCGCGGCTTGTGAGGAAGTTCCCCCTTGAGAGCGCTGAGGCCCCCCACCTGCTCCGTGGGGAGGGTCCCCGGCACCCAGGAGGGACGCGCCGGCCTCTCAGGGCCCCGGACGCCTGGCAGGGGCAGAGCGAAGGGACCGCGGTGCCGGCAGGAGCCCGGAGCCCCCAGACACCGCGCACCTCCTGGAGGGACCTTCGCGCGCTTGGATACCGCGTTTAAGTAGGCGTTTTTAATCGTCCGAACGTGCGGGGAAGGAGTTCTACAAGTGTTGGCAGGTGGAGAAAGACTGGAAATTGGTTGATTTAAAATCCACGCCAAAACCCGCATTTTCCTTCTCAGAATCACTTTTACTCGAGTCTGCGTGTGTCAGTGTCTCCCAGCGAAACAGATCCCACGGGACGTGTGCGCACGTGCCACGATGCAGAGACGGCCGCACAGAGACTGAGACACAGAGACAGAGAGACAGAGACGAGACACAGAGAGAGAGAGAGACACAGAGACAGAGACACAGAGAGAGACAGAGACAGAGACAGAGAGAGACAGAGATGAGGCACAGAGACACAGAGACAGAGACAGAGACACAGAGACAGAGACACAGAGACAGAGAGAGATAGAGAGATGGAGAGAGACAGATACAGAGACAGAGAGACAGAAAGAGACAGAGAGACGGTCAGAGAGACAGAGATAGAGACAGAAACAGAGACAGAGAGATGGAGAAAGAGACAGAGATAGAGAGAGAGACTGAGACATAAAGAGAGACAGAAACACAGAGATGGAGAGAGAGAGACAGAGATAGAGAGAGAGACAGAGACAGAGACAGAGAGACAGAGGAAGAGAGATGGAAAGAGACAGAGACAGAGAGATGGAGAGAGATAGAGAGAGAGACAGAGACAGAGGCAGAGACAAAAAGGCAGAGAGAGACAGAGGCAGAGAGACAGAGACAGACAGGAGGACCGACGGAGCCTGGAGCCTCCAGGCAGCACACACGGGGCTGCAGACCCAGGAAGAACGGCTCTTGAGGGCCCAGTCGGTCTCGAGGCTGAGCCCCTTTCCCGGGCACTCGGTCTTTTCTTCTCAAGACCTTTAGGGACGGGGCTGGTGTGCGTGTCAGTCGCATCTAGAAAACACCTTCATATCAACACCCAGGCTAGTGTTAGAGCTTCTGGGCACAAAGGCCTGTCCGAGTGGACACATGAGACTAGCCACTGAGCTGTATTGAAAATGCTGTCTTAATTTTTCCTGAAACTATGAAATGCTGGGGGAACCCAGAGGACCCCCCACCCCCCGATGCTCTGGGTGGCCTCTTCCTCGGACATGTCTGCACTTTGGGGCCGGACTCGTGCACAGCAGGCACACACCGAGAATCCAGGTTTCCGAGGGTGGGTGTCTCGGCAGGTGCCACACGTGCCGCAGGTGTGTGGAGTGGGCCCTGCTCCGGCCCTGCTGGTGCGGTCTGATCGAGGAGTCTGGGTCAAGTGGGTGGCCCTGGTGCAGGGGAGCCCGGGCCCCAGGAGGGCTCTCTCTGGGGTGCTGTCGTGCTTGCACAGACTGCGCAGGGTTGGACCCTCCACTGACCCAGACTGTCTGTCCCTTGCAGCGCTGCGGCCGCTTCCCCGCCTCGACTCCCAGGGACCCCCCTGTGTCCGAGGACGCGCCGCCTCCCAATGCCCCACCTCTCTGTGTGCCAGCCCTCTTCCTCCCCGGGGTGAAGCCTCCGCCTCCACTCCCTGACACATGGGGGTGGATGGAAAATTAACTTAGTTTCGGTTTCTTAAAAAACAAAGCAGCCTCTGCAAACCCTGCTTCTGTGGCCAATCTCCCAGAGACGTCAGGGGAACGTTCTGAGGTCTGCGCCTTCTTTCCCTCCTGGGCACATATGTGGGCAGAGAGGCCAAGACCAGCGGTGGGACAGAGCCCAGGGGTCCAAGGCCCCAGGCAGCACCTCTGCTCAGCTGCCCCGCCCAGAGTGGACGCCAGACACCGAACAGATCCAGCGCTCCCGGCCGGAGCCCCTCGGTCTGTCGTCACTTAGTGAACAAAAGTCACTCTCTCACCATGTCCCTCGTGAGCCTGTTGTTACTATTCTGCAAGGGGAATATGGCCCCGTGTGCCCCCTGCAAGGGTCATGTTTTAAGGAGAGGTGCTGTATGTGTACATACTTACACCTGTGACCCCAGGAAGCGCAGCCCCGCTCAGGGCCCTCTCTCGGTGGCTACTTGCTGGGGATGAAATGACGCTTTGGCTCAGACATCAGATGCTGCTCATGAGGGGCGTGCGTTCCCTGAGGTCTGCCTCCTTCCCAACCTGCCGTCACACCTGCAAGAACACTTGCTACCTGAGGCTGCACGCGTCCTATCCAAGGCTGCCAGCGGCCATCTCTCATGGATTGTTCTAGAGGCTGCCGGTCCGTTACGCAGGGAGCTCCATAGGGCGCCCCCCCACCCGCCGCAGGGCAGATCTCTACACCCCGTCTCTCTGCTGCAGGTGGGTGGCTTCTGAGGCTTCAGCTAGAGCCTGAGGGGCAGCTCGGCCTCCTGCAGACCCACTGCCACTGACCCAGGCACACCTGGAGCCCCCGGTGGGCACCCACCTGGGCAGTGATCAGTCCTGAGTGACAGGCCAGAGTCCTAAACTAGTCCTGGATGATGGCTGGGGGTAGAGATAAGGTGCGGTGGGGAGGGGCGGGGAGGGGAGAGGAGAGGGCGTGGAGAGGAGGGGAGGGGCGAAATAAAGAAGACACGGCAAGCAGACAGTCTCCTGCTCCCTCTGCTGGCGCGAAGGCAGGTCCAACAGGCCCCGCTCTCGGGTGCTGGAAGGCCTCACAGTTTTCTGGGCACCTCAAATGCTTTCTCTGAAGAGGGTAAGCGCGGGTTCCCCTGTTGGGGCCGTCGCTGGAATACAGGACACAGGAGGCTCGCGGCTCCGGCTAACGGACCTCAGGAAGGCCCTTTGTCACAGACGAGGAAGCCACCAGCCTGGCCTCCGGTCTAGCAGATGCCTTCAGTCCCGGGGGTGGGGGGGGCGGTGTTGAGCTGAATTTACACTCTGAGTCCAGACGGTCCGGCCGCCCAGCCCGGGCCTGCGCATGGCTTCCTCTCCGCAGACTCCGGGTTTGCAGCCGGGAAGCAACGACACATTTGTCCTCCGGAGGAAAGCCCTCCTGTCACACAGGGCTGCGAACCAGGGGCGCGGAGGCCTCTGAGGAGGCCGCGCTGGGGTGAGGGTCCCGGGGCACCTCCGTGTGTGGCTCCTGCGTTGGGGGCCCCTACAACTCCCTCATGGGCCTGGAGCTAAGGAACCAGCACAGTGTGGCTGAGGCCGGTGGTCCCGCCAAACCAGGGGCCGGATCCCTTCCCTGAGCTTGCTGTCCCGTGGGGTCTGGATGAGGAAGAGGGGCCAGCTCTGGTGCCTCCAGGCTGCGCCCCAGACCCACGCTGGCCTGCAGGGAGCAACCTGCTTCCTCCCAGGCTCGGGGCTGCCTCTCACAGGGCCCAGCCTGATGGAGAGCCGCTGACAGCAGTGCGGCCGGTGCTGGGAACCGCGCCACCGATCGCCGAAGGCAGCCAGATGCCAAGACACAGGAATAGCTTTGACCTCGGCACCCACCCCAGGGTCAGAGGCACACAGCAGTGTCCGTGTTTCCCAAGATTGTTCACACCAACGTCACCCAAAGGCACTTCTATCTGCCCTGGGAGCCCAGAACTGATAAAAATATTAGACTCCCAGGCCAAAAATTCTGCTCTTGGCCACAAGAATGTCCTTATCCCCTGTCCCAGCCACAAAGAATGCCAACAATTCAACTCCCGCCTGGTGACGGCTCCGGCCCCTTGCAGTCCCCAGGACAGCTCTCCACACCCTACACACTGCACAGGCCCACGCTGACCCCCAGTCCCCAGGGCAGCTCCCCCATCCCTGGCACGTGGTGCCTGCTCATGCCAGGCCTGCAGTGTGTTGTGGGTACCATTCTCTGAGGGAAAAAAGTCTCTGCCAAAGCCTTTGCCTTTACAGTGATAGTCACTGGCCAGTCTGTGCCTGAGGGTAGGTGCGTCAAGGGTCCTGGCCTGGCAGCTCTGATGGGCACCATGATGAGTGGGTCTCAGTGGGGCCTCTCCCTGACCCCCATCCTTGGCTGAGCTACCCCACCTCTTTCCCGACCACTGACTGTGGTTCCACTCAGTGGACCCGGACCGGGGGCTGCTCATGGGTGCGGGGCTCCCTGTTGGTGGGAAGGAAATGTTCCAGAGAGGGATGGTAGTGATGGTTGCACAGCCTTGTTAATGTATAAAACCCACTGAGTTGTACATTGTTAAAGGGCGAATTTTATGGTATGTGACTTGAGCCTCAATTGAAAGAGGGCAGGACGAACCAGGAGTACAGCACACATCCAGGGGACAAGAAGACAGTCACCAGCACGCCTCCAGGGGACAAGAAGACAGTCACCAGCACGCATCCGGGGGACAAGAAGACAGTCACCAGCACGCGTCCGGGGGACAAGAAGACAGTCATCACCGTGAAGCCGGACCCCTCGCTGAGCAGAGAAGCCCTAGGAACTTTAGGGGAAATGTCGTCTGACCTACAGGAAGAAGAAAATGTCCAGGAGGCAAGGCCCTTATGCAACTAGGGGCTTCATAGGTGGCAACAGTTAGAAATGTATTTCCTTTCTTCGAGTCTTAAGGTGATTTAATGATGAAAATTAATACACACGCAGAAAGAACACGTAGAGCGAGGCACAAGGTCGTGTGACTGGCAGAGAGGTGAAGACAAGAGCGGCCGGGACGAGGCCGCCCTCCCTGCTCTGCCCAGCGCAGGGTTTGTGTGACATGTTCTCACTTCCTTCGGGTCAGTACCGGAGAGTGTGGTTGCTGGATTGGATGGTAGGAATGGGTTTGGCAGACAGCCTTCCAGGCGGCCACGCTGTCCTGCACTGCTTGTGGCATGAGGGCCCTGGCCGCCAGCTGGCCAGCACTCGGCGCTGCGTGTGACCCAGACCATGGCCACTCTGGTAGGAGGGCAGCTGTGTCTCACTGTCACGTTCGTTTGTCATTCTGTGGGGACAGTGCGGAGGAACCCCACTCAGGTGCTTACTAGCCAGCTGGGCCCCTGCTTTGGGGATGTTGTCTGTTCAGGTCTTTTGCCCATTTTTATTTGGGTTGCTTATTTTCTTGTTGAGTTTCAAGAGCTCTTTGTATATTTTGGGTACCAGTCCCTTGTCAGACGTGTTTTTGCAAATACTTTCTCCCCGTCTGAGGCTTGTCTCCTCCTTTCGACGTTGTCTTCTGTGCAGCAGACGTTTTAGCCTTGCTGAAGTCCAGCTTGTCCGTCCTTCGCAGATGATGCCTCTGGGATCGTGTCTGCCGCGTCACCGCCGCGCCCAATCTCAGCATGCAGTAGTTTTCCCCTTTCCCTTTAGATATGTGACCTGTTTGGGGTTATTTGTGAAGGGGTGAGTTGTGTGGCAGGATTCACTTCTCAGCATGTGGAGGTCCACTTGCTTCAGCACCATCTGCTGAAGAGACAGTCTCCGCTCCGTTGTGCTGCCTCTGCTCCTTTGTCCAACACCGGTGACTGCCTTTGTGTGGTCTCCTGTGGGGCTGTTTGTGTCACGGGTCTATTTGTTCAGCAAGAGCAGCCTGGACCGATCGTGGCAACTTTGCAGTAGGCCTTGAAGTCGGATATTGTCAGTCTTCTAGCTCTGTTCTTGACTTTAACGTCGCTCAGTATTTGAATCTCTCCTTTACTGTTAGAGCGTTTTGGGTTCTTTTAAGAAATCGTTCTCTACCTTAGGTCATGCTAAGACTTTCTTCTGTCACAGGGGATAGTGGAGTCTGTACATAAAGGGTCAGAAGGTAAATATTGTTGGCTTACAGCACCAGTTAATGTGTGTTAATGTGTGTGACTGCTCAGCTCCGACATGTGGACCCATCCAGCTGTCGACGATCGTACGTCAACGGGGTGGCTGTGTGCCAGTGAGCTTTGCTAACAAGGGGGGGTGGAGCCACAGGCCCTTGGGGCGTAGTCTCACATGCTTGTCTGGGGCTTTATAGATTATTTTTAAGATTTAATTAGATATTCTACCTTGTGTCATGGGAGGTGAGGTCAGATTTCCTTTATCTTTAATACAGTGGCATTCAACAGGGCTGGTTTTGCACCTGGGGGACATTTGGCAATGTCTGGAGACATTTTTGATTGTCATGAGTGCTGTGGGGGCTGGGGCATGGGTACAGTGGGAACTAGTTCCTGGATGGCAGGGTGCTACCCAATGACCCGGAAGAACCCTTTTCATAAGACACACATTGACGATCAACAGCATCCTAAAAACAAAACCCCAAAACAACAAACAAACAAAATTATTGCAGCTCTTCTCTTGAAAAGCCAAAAGCAAATTAGACCATAGCTCGGTACACAGCGTGTTCTATTCCCCGTGCCGTCCCCGTAGCACAAAGTCACTCCTGTCTGTCACTACTGTCCTCCTCCACCAGACTGAATCAGGCTCCTCCAGGGCCTCTGGCGGAGTGCACAGTCAGATGATGGAGCTTCGTCTGTCTCTGACCCCTCGGCTGCCAGCACCCCCGGTTGGACAGTGGTGAGGGTGCCAACCTGCCTGGCAGCCGTGGGGACCGTACGGCTGTATTCAGCCCTTACAGGGTATGAGCTTTTACTTGGCCGTAGCTGGAGGTACCCTGGTGCCCAGCGGATATCTAAGGAAACCACAGCAGGAAACGGATTTGTGCCCAGCTCCCTTCACAGAGGATGGCTTGGGATAGTCAGAAGGCCCCTAAGCCATGGCTGCATGTGCCCATGGGGTCCCGGAGCTCAGCGTGTGCGCTCTCTGCTCTGGCTGTCCTGGCCTTCTCGAGAGACTGGGGCTGGCCAGGGGAACATTCCACAAGAACATTCCAGAGCTGCCTCCACAGTGAGGGAAAGCAGATAACACCACGGGGAATGGTGCGGCAACACGCTGAGAAACGGATCAGGCCCTAAAGCTGCTTTGGGTTCCTGATGTTCCTGAGGCCAGCTGGGGGGTGGCCTGGTGTTCTCCTAGGGGCTACAGGCTGGCCTTGCCTCCCACACTTCTCAGAGCTGTGCTTAGGGGTGCTGGAGGTGGTCTGCGTTGGGGTGAGGCTTCCTACTTATTGAGCAGACAGCGTCCAGGCCGTGGTCCTCCTGGTCAACATCAAAGGTCCCAGGAACTGAGGTTTCACTGCCCTGATGGACAATGAGGCTGTGTCCTGCAGCCCCGAGTCCCAGCTGCCTGGGAGCCAGCAGAGGGGGCCCGGGTTTAGGGGTCCCCTTATGCTATAAGCAGTTACATGCATCCACGCTGGCTGCAGACTGAGAGCATGGAAGCCCACAGTGCTGTAGGAGAAGGCCCTTCCCCTAGGACCTTGGCTGGAGATGGACGGCTCATGAGGACGTAATCGGTCAGAGCTGCCCAGGGACAGCCCAGCTTGTGCTCTCCGGGGACATGGCTTCACTGCGTGCCCTGCTTCTCCTGCACCAGCCTAGAAAACCACCTGAAGAACCTCTTAGACTAGTTCTCTCAAGGCCCAAGTCAATAGAACTTCCATCCAGATGCTGCCACACATCTCGGAAGACGGTAGAAAGGACACAGCTGGGCAGGCAATGGTGGTGTCCGTGGGCAGGCCAGGGAGTGCTGAGGGCCTGGTGAATGTGCCAGGGACCCTGGGTCGGCCTTAATGGCCAGGCCCGTGAGAGCCTGTTGGGCCTTCCTGTTTCCATGCCCCGGCATCTGCCACCTGCAGCCGTCATCCCCATGATGAACAGGCCAGGGAGGGGTCCCTCCTGGTGGGGGTCTGTGGTGGGCGGCCCCTCCAGAATCCTAGAGACCCCTTCAAGGGTGGGCCAGCCATGGCTGAGGAGGGGTACCCATCTGCTCCCACCGGGGCACATTTGGGGCCCACGTCCTTGAAGCCACAGGCTGCTTTCTAGAAACCTGAAGGGGGTCTCTCCTCCTCTGTGCTGCCCGGCTCACTCTGCTTCTTGCCCCATAGCTGTGGGTGGGCTCCTCGGGCTCTGTCCTTCCTTCTGCACCTGCTTGTCTACAGGTCAGTACGTGACTTCTGGACTCACGGTATGCTGTCAGGCACCAAAATCCACGCTGCTCCGTGCTTGGCTGATGCTGCTTTCACAGGTCACTCTGTACTGAGAAAGGACAGGGCTGGGGGATGCTTTGCCGCCCTCCTTGGGGCAACCCAGACCTGCCCCACAGCCTCAGGAAATTCGAGGTTTGGAATCTAAGAACACCTGTTTTGGAGGAGCTTTCCGGTCATCAAGCGCGGTCTCCAGGGGGTGCCAGAAACTTGTCTGGTGCGTTATGCATGACCGTGACGGTGACCGCCGGCCATCCCGTGACCGTCGCCGCCCTGACGGTGACCACCGGCCATCCCGTGACTGTCACATCAGGCAGACAGACCTGCCCTGCCGGAGCTCCGACCTCAACACTGGCCTCCCCGCCAACCCACCCCCGGGCCTCTGCGACCTGTGTGTGCTGGTGGCCCTGGGGCCCCAGTGCATTTTCCTTTTGTGTCCTCTTGGGGTCAGAACGGCGCCTGCACCCCCCACCTCGCAAAGCGGCAGGTGTACCCGCGTAACCAGATTCCAGCAGCTCCAGCCATTAGAGCTGCTCTGAGGAGAGAAAATGGGAGACCGAGAGGGGAATGGGTTTGTGTAGGGAGAAGGCAGACAGGTGCGAACCTGCCCTGTGTCAGGAGGGGTGACAGGGCCCTCGTCTCCATCGGAGTTGTGTCCATGGCACAGAGAGCAGGGCAGCAGCGCCCGGAGCCGGGAGCTGGGGAGGGGCTGGAGGGGGGCCGACCCGCCGCTGGGCACGAACGAGCAAGGAGCAGAGCCCGCAGCACAGTTAAAAAGGGTTCTCTAAATATTTTATTTTTCCATACTTTCAGGCCAGAAAGAAGCATCGGTAATAGAATAACAGGATTATTTTCCTGGGTCCGCTCCGGCGTGTGCAGCCCCGGTCTCTGCTGGGGCCGGGGCCGGGGCCTCGCGCAGCTGACATCAGCTCCTCAGCCACGCACACGTATGTTACAGGCACAGAACAGTCTCAGAGGAACCTCGGCCCGCGGGGGGCACAACGTCCACAGCTGCTCTCGCTGGGGGCGGGGGACCGGCCGTCCCTCCTCCTGCCGGCCTAGGGGGTGGCCTGCTCGACGTGGGGGCAGGAGTGGGACGTGATGTCGCTGTGCTTGTAGACGGCCTCGTCCAGGTCCAGCACCTTCCGGTTGACCTCCAGTGTCATGCAGCCGTGGTAAAAGGCCGTGACTGGCGCTGCGGTCACGGGCACATCTGGGCCAGTGGGGAGAGAACAACACTGTCTCACAAGCGAGCGGCCGTCCGTCTGGAGACCGGGCTCCCCGTCCTGCAGGTCCCCCGGCACCGCGCTCCCGGGCACCGAGGGCCCCATCAGTGCCCAGCCTTTCTCCTCAGGGGCATGGGTCCCTGTGTGCCCAGACCAGCAGCAGCTCAGCTGCGGGCCTGCAGGGACACCTGCCTGCCCCCAGGAAGTGCACTCGGATAGTTAGATCAGTAAATCGCCCTGATCTCCTTCTTGGCCCAGAGGAGTCGTTCACGCTGCAGGGCTCC